AATATAGAAGGCTTAATAAGCTACCTAAACTGTTTTGTGGGTTCCTTATTATACTTCTAGTATAACGGGCCCCAGAACGCTATTCTAATTATTAAGGCCCCTATATTAGGGTTTAGGGTCCCCTAAACCCTAGGCCCAAGGCCCTCATCCCTCAGTGACAGCTTGGAGCTGAGGACTCTATGAGGATTTTGTAAGCGTCTTCAGTAATGGGGTTCTAGGGGTGAGGGTCTGTATAATTTCTAATTTAGGGGCTGAAACAAGTACCCATATTATCCCTTAGGTCCCTTGGGTTTGCTTAGTATACTGAAGCTGTGTATATTAACATAATATACATGTATACATATATATATATATACACATACTGACCATAGAGCACCCTAAACCCTAAACCCTAAACCCCTAAACCCTACCTAAGGCTCGACATAGCGCCGTAAGACCCGAAACTGCTCATAAGCCTCGAGCAGAGCAGCCGTTGGGCCTCGAAAGCCTGTGGCAGTTCTTGGAGGGTGGGGGGACCTACGGTTGATGGACAAAATCCTGCAACACCGGACTGGGCCCCCTTGTCTCAGTGCTAAGGGTTTAGGGTTTAGGGTTTGATATAAGTCCTGCATTACTTTAAAGGACCCAAAACTATGGGAATTGTGGTATATTCCTTATAATGGGTAATGCAGGATATTGTCCATCAACAGTATGTACTTGGAGGGTCGGGGGACCTCGTAACTAGTTATTAAGGGCCCCTTTAAAGGGATCTATAGGGATTCTATAAAGGGATCTACAGGGATTCTATAAGGGTATAGGGTTTAGGGTTTAGAGTGTTTGGAGGGTCGGGGACCTAGTAAGCAGGGCTCCTTAAAGGGATCTTTAGAGGGATCTATAAGGGTTCTATAATGGAGCATGGGAGTTAGTAAGTAGGCAATAAGTAGAGTTATAAGTACCCTAAAAGGGATCCTAATTGGGAATATGGCACTTATAAGTCCCGAAAATAAGTAAATACTAAGTCCCCCGACCCTCCAAGTATGGCCTGTGGGAGCATACGCCTCAAGACTTACCGTAAGCCTTGAACCCTGAGCCCTACTACACCTGAAGATATGGCTCCTCAGAGACTCAGAGAACGATCAATCACCCTAAGCGTTAAACCCTAAAAAGCCTAGGCACTAAACCTTATAAACCTCTGGCGCTAAACCCAACAAAAAGCCACAAACAACATAGGCCTTAAACCCTAAGCCCTAAATCTTATAAACCAATGGTTGACATTGTTGGTGGTGGTGTAGCTGATACTAGGTACATCACGGAGGGAATATTGGACACTCCCGGGCCTGGTGAGCCTTGTGAATTCGCTAAAGTATTCTTGGCATGCTATGCTGATGTGTATGGCGTGACGTTGGATGGTAGCTTCGGAAGCTTGATCAAGCGCCGGGCCATCAATATGGGTCCTGCAGGCAATAGGTTTTTCTGTGTCTTGGGCAGTGAATATCTCATTCATGTTCCAATACCGCCGTATCTGCCCTGGCCGTTTCCTCAGGGGAACTTCGTGTGCAATGGTCGTAATACCATTGAGTTTGCGAAGCGTGGCCAGTTGTCTTATACCCCAGACGCCATTATCCAGAATTGCACTGTCAAGGAATTGACCATCATGACACAGCTGGGCTGCTTACCAATGTTGCCTCAGAGTTTGTTCTTTCATCGTGTCGCCACCAACGCTGCATTGAATCAGGGTGCAGTTGGAGGATTTCTGGCAACGCGTTATAGAATGAAGCAAGGTGAGTCTGTGTCAAGATCAGCATCAGGTGACAATCTGCTCAATCTTGGGACATTTGCGATTATCGTGCCAGCTTTGTATTATGGCACACCAGATGCTGGGAGGATTGCTCCCCCGCAGGCGGCAAGTACGCCCGCTTATGCCATCCGTGAAATGTTGCCTGATTATGATTTGAAGACAGCGGCTGGATTGACGTATGAGTTGCCAATGGCGAATCCTTCTGATTTGGTTCTTCAGTATCCATTGATTACAGTGCAGACACGTGGGCCTGGTCACGTGACCTCCTCTCTTGAGCTTTGGGAGCGTGTCGATGTGAAAGTGGCCAAATTTGACCGTGTGCCGCGAGCAAATCCCTAATTTGAACATGAATGTGTTTCACCTTGTGCAAATGACATCTTGATGACGGCTGAATGGCAGCAAAAATGCAGAGAGATTTTTGTTAGTGTTCACTGGTCAGTTGATTTGGAAGCGTGCACATTGTTTAATTAAAAATTGTTGACGATGGTTTATTTGTGCTCAAGCCTGCAATTATATGTTATGATGGTGGCCCTAGGTAGATTTGCCAAGAGGTTTGCGAAATGGTGGCGGCGATACCTGCTCAGGGAGATCATCCAACAGCATGAACGTGAAGTTTTCGCTTGGGCATTCGAGTCTGAAAGTGATCGCTCCTCCAACGGATCTGCGAGGTCTAGGAATTGGAGATGGGACAGTGTCAGTCCAGAGCGTGAGGAGTCTGTGGCAAGGGCTCAGCTGCTAAACGATATATGCTTGAGGATGCTGAGAACGCCTGAGGGAGTGAGAATTACACCTGCTCAGTTTTACATTGAGAATGGTGAGCGAGTTGAGGACGTAGCTTTGGAGTACTTGCTTGATCGCGAGTACCGTGAGAGCCGCTGATAATACTAGGACACGACGGGCTTGAAAGTGAAAATGTGAGAGGTGATTGGTCGAGTTGATGATTGCGCATTGTTGAAAATTATCCCTGGTGGACAGATGTCGGCTCAAATAAGCGTGCACAGCTTACGAGCTCAACGATTGAGTGTTGGGCACCATGGATTCGTGGAAGCTTTGCTGCAGAAGCCTCCTCAGGAGTTGCTGCCGTATAGGCGTTTGAGGATTAGCAGGTTTTTGGATGAGTATGATGTGGATGATTTGTTGGAACAGTATGAATTATTGGCTATGGCCCATGATGGACGATGGGGTTATGCAAGAGTCACAGGCTGGGTTTTGGCTAGTAAACTATGTAGAAGGGAGGATTGGATACGTTTGAAATTGATGCTGCAAACCAAAGCAATGGGTTTGGCTGTTAGCGACGATGAGGAGTTCATTGAAAATGCAGGCGCGCTGCATAAGGTTTGGAAACTCAATGGAGCCATAGATGGTGGTGAAGTGCCTGAATATGCAAAGGTCACCAAGTATTTATATGTACATTATCTACAAGACAAAGCAGAACGTGAACGTCTAGCTGCTGGAGAACGAACTGGTGGTGAGAGGGAACAACACAATGAAACCGCACAAGTTTGGGATGAACAATTCGAGGGCTGGCATCAAGACCCTGCCACGGGCTGGTGGCAGCAAACTGTCGCTGAGCAAACTAGCGATGCTACGTCCTCTTCGTCCTGGAGCACTCCTTCGTCGAGTTCCTCGCAAGCTTGGGATGGCTGGGTTCACTGGTTGTCGTGGCATACACCTTGGGATCCGACGAGTTCCACTTCCTCCACTACTACAAGTGCGCCTCCGGGCGAAATGGAGATTCCTCCCATTGGGGTGATTCTTCCCGGTGCACAGCCAGACCAACATCTAGAGTTACCTCCCAATGAAGGTCTTTTTCCTACGGTGAGGAACCTTGACTATCTAGACCATGCGGGCAGCCTTGAACTCACAGGTGCTGAAAGACGTCGCCTTCAGGAAGCCTCTGTTCCACGTGGCATGATCGACCGCCTGGCTGACATCTTTCAGGGACTTGATAATCATCAGGCAAATGATAGAGGTCCGGAAGCGCGCTGGGCAGTTGCACGCTTCTTACAGAGGGTTGAGAATGGTATGGAGGCTCTCGAGACGATCCAGGAACTGCTCCATCGCCGCCTGATACCACGTGGTCTGTGGCCGGTCCAACGCTTTCCTCGTGACCAAACTGCCAGGTGGAATCTCTTCCAGTGGGCTCGCACGACGGCTGACGTCCTCGAGGCCACCCTTCGCCAACACCTTGCGGTGCCACTTCAGCCGGATGAGAATGTGAATCGTGAGCCAGCAGTCCCTGAACGACATGATGCCTCGAGTGGTGAGGAGGCAAACTCTAGAGCTCGTTCGCGAAGCCCAAGGTCCAGAGAAGAAGCAAGCTCGTCCTCCAATGAAGACCTGGCAGTGAGCAACAATGCTGCAACTGATGAACCGGTTTCGCAGGGGACCACCGTGGAAGCGGCTCTCTCTCCGGATGAACTGCGTGCACTTGAGGGTGAACTTCTTGGGATCTGGGCCGACCCTTCTGCTCGATTACCTGATTCATCCACGTCTACTTCGACCTCTCTCTCGCCTTCGGAGATGTGCTCTACTTTGTCCATACCGTGCTTCGCTTCAACCACTACGACGTCCTCTGTGGCTACTTCAACCTGCTGGACGATGACATCTTCGATGGATGGGAGTACTTCTTCATCGTCCAACATGTCTCCACCAGAGATTTCTCCTACTACATGTTCAACGTCGGAAGACACTCTAGACGAAATATCAATCTTCTTGGTGCAATGGAGAATGCAAATTGTGGATGGATCCATTGCCTCCACGACCTCTACGACATCTCAAGTGACCCTCTTCCCGGCAGATGTCGTCAGGGATGCAGTCAACCATGAAATGGTGAATGCTGGCGAGACCGATGTTATCGAGCTGCTCCACAGACTCCTGGATCGACAACGGCATTTACAACACTGCCAGCGACTCTTACAGGTGGCAGTGGAGGAAGCCTGTAGATGGCTGCGAGTGCCACGACATGGAGAAGCTCTGAACGTCGGAATACATGAAAGGGTGATATGGAACACGATCCTTCGTGAAGCAGCCCATGGTTCAAGCGAGAGTACGACTGGAAGTGGCACTTGGGTAAATGCTCCGGTAGTTCTACTACGTCCACGACTACCCGAAGAGGTTGCATCTGCGCGAGCTGCTCTGCCTGGGGCTGCTGACCACACCATAGCTGGTTATAGACGTCGAGCATGGCGCGCACAGATGGCCAATGTCTTCCGTGATGCAGGACGCCCTGTTCCTCTTGGTGCCTGGCCTAGTGAGGACGACCGGGACCTGTATCTTCTTCAAGGAACCCCGGAACAGAATGTCTCCAATTGGCCGAGCAATGTTCCTCTTCCTCGCCATCCTCGTGAAGGTCGTTTCACACCAGGGGAAAGCAGACGTCGTGGAAGCCATGATCGTCCGCGAGCAGTCCGTGTTCAGCCTGGTGTTAGCCTGTTGTTAGAGGGTGCCGTTGCTCATAGTTCGTCAGCTTCTTCCTCTGGTCACTTGAACAACGAAGTGATGAACACAATGACTACAGCTGGTAATCTTCCTCCCGGTGATGGGCTTCTTGAAGATCCCCGTGCTCGTGGAGGACGAGATGCTGCTCTTTCTGGAGAAGTTCCTCGTCTCCCAGTACCTCCCGAAGGAGCACTTGATGGACTTGCTGTTGTACTTCCAGGCAACGATTCCGAAGGACCTGAGGAGACTGCCCTAGACATCGCAATAAATGAGGAGGTCGAGTCGTCTGCTGATCCCCTCGTAGATGACCGTCCTGCTGGGTTACCTCGTGGACTGAACAGCACCCCATCTCGTGAGAGAAGTCGCAGTAGAGACACCTGAACTCCGAGTTGCAGTTCGTCGGGTTCTGAGAGTGGCAGGGCTTTTTGAGTGTGAGGAGGCTGAAAGTTGAGATTATCCAACTCTCAGTGCAATCCTCGAGTGAGGCAGGCGAAAAGACACGTCACTGCACTTTAAAAAAAAAAAATCTTATAAACCTTAGGTGCTACAGCCCCCAAAAACACACGACACATCCAAACCGGGGCTCTGACCTTTAGGCTTTGGACTGTGCATAGTATAATACGCCCCAAAGCCCTGTTCTAATTAGTAAGGTCCCTAGACTGCATTGTTTGCTGTTGCTGGATGTTCTTCAAAGTAAGGCAGAAGGATTACGTTTTGGGGATTTTGTGGGTGTGTGCAGACTGCGCAAAACTAGAACCCTAAACCCTACCTACAGTCTCCATTGTAGTTCCTTTTTTTGGTTAACCAGTTTTCGGGTTAGGATCCTATAATGGAGATTTTGGTTAACCAAAAAAAGGAACTACAATGGAGACTATAGGTAAAGCTCGAACCCTCAAGAGTAAAAGCGCGCCTCAGAGCCGAGGAGAAAGCCTTCCACATCATAACCCTCAGGCTCTAAGGATTCATATGGGAGTTTCCGAAAATTAGGGGTACCTTACCTTGGGGTCCTTATAGTAAGGATCCTACTATTCAGGGTACTGTATTAGGGTCCCGTATTTTCGGAAACCCCCCATATATTGAGGCTTCTGGTCCCAAAGACCATAGCATGTAAGGCTCCGAGCTTGAGGGCAGTCAAGAAATGTTTGAATTACTTTCCTCAGTTAGTGTTGTAGGGTTTAGGGTTTAGGGTTAATAATTACATTCCTTAGATCGTTTTTTTTAATGTGCAGGGTTTGTAGGGTTTTGAGTCCAGGCTTCTCAGAATTTCGCACTGCTCCGCAGAAATTGGCTCACCAGCCATAGCTGGAGGCTCCACAGCACGCCCATGTTCTGAGGCAGCCTTTATAACTAGGATCTCCAGTAGTACCCATATTCCCTTTTTAATGTAGTCCTAGGTTCCTTATAAAGTTACCCAATGCCAAAAAGAGAGGCCTTTTTATTCTTAGGTTACTGGGTATCCTAGATAACCCACCGTAAACACAAAAGTCCTCGACCGGAACCGAAGCCCAGGGTTGTCGAAGCGGTAGACCCCAAGAAATGCTGAATGCTAAATAGCCCTGAACTCTGTCGTCTGAAGCTCAACCCCGGCGTTGGAAGATCCCTAAGCCCGTACCCCTACCTGAACCCTAAAGAACCTACCTTTTTAAGGACATATATAAGGAAATCATAATAGGGAACCCTAAAAAGGTAGGTTCTTCAGGGTTAAGGTAAGCCCTAAATCCGGTTGGAGCCGCACCGTCGACAGCCAAGAGTCGGAAGGCGGGATTTGCTGTGGCTCTTTTGAATGAAATCTGGGGCTTCCCGAGACTGGGGGACTCCAAAAAGTACCCTAAATAGTAGGATCCTTCGTATATAAGGACCCAAAATGAGGTACCCCCTAATTCTCGGAAACTCCCATCTCTACCTCTTTCTAGGAACCCCTTTGAAGGGCCCAGTTTATACCATACCTATAGTCTCCATTGTAGTTCCTTTTTTTGGTTAACCAGTTTTTGGGTTAGGACCCTATAATAGAGATTTTGGTAACCAAAAAAAAGAACTACAATGTAGACTCTAGGTACAGGTACATGGAACCTCGTGGATCTATGAGGGTCTCAAAGTTTCGGTTTAGGGTTTAGGGTTTAGGGTAGTCTTAAAGCCTGTGTTTCTGTTCACCCGGTTTTCAAGGGCGCTGTAGGGCTGCATAGAGCTTCGTACTGGTGTTTTCCGTCGTATAGGCACGGTGCTTAAGGATCCAGGTTGTCCCGAAGACTCCATGTACCCATATAGTACTGAAACCTATAAGGGCACTTTAAGGCCTAACGGTTGATGATATAAATCCTGCATGACCTTAAGGACCCTAAGCTATGGGAATTATGGTATATTCCTTATTATGGGTTGTGCAGGATTTGTATCATCAACCGAAGTACCTACTATATGGGTACATGGAGCCATTGGTTGTCATGTTTAACGGCTGTAGTGCAACGGTTGATGATATAAATCCTGCATTACCTGAAGGACCCTAAACTATGGGAATTATGGTATATTCCTCATGATGGGTCATGCAGGGTTTATATCATCCACCGAATTATTAGAGCTTAATCATTTTTTGTTCTTATAACACCCAAGAGACTGCTAGCTGCTAGAGCTGTTATGTTTATTATGGTTCCAAAGGGGCGGTATAGGTTAATTTGGTGGGTTCGGGGTTGAGGTCCTTGCAAGAATAGTTTTTCAGGTCATGCGCTCTGAGGTCGAACCTCCCGGCAGGGCAAAGAGGTGAAATTTCGGAGCTCTATGTACCTATATCGTAAATAGTCAGGTCTGAAAGGGACTCCCATACTTTCAGCCTTATATGCTATGTAGACACATGCGGCCTCAGGGCTACGTCTTGTCGAAGTTGTGGGCTGGTGGGTAATACAGTAATATGCCCCAACCATGTGCAAACAGATAGATGCGCTTAGTCAGACAGTACCTGAAGACCCCAACCGTCTGTAGCTGACGAGTTCAGCGTCGAGGGCTTCTGAGTCCAGGTATGAAGGGTTTAATTTCCTCAGATTTTCTCATCATTATATACATAATGACAAGCACGCGCCCCTGCGATAGTCCTGCCGTCTCATCATCTGCGGATGCCTGTCCGCGAAAAGACAAGATGACAGTGTAAAGTTTGAGGACTCGGACATGATGGTTGATTCAACGGCGGCGAGTCACGATGTCTCCAAGCCTACTTAGAGGCCCAGGGGACTTAGTAAGTCGGTTATAAGTAGGGTTATAATTTGGGTAACTCCATTTAGGGTACTTATAACCCTACTTATAAACTACTTACTAAGTCCCCGGGGCCTCTAAGTGTGTCAGCACACGCGAGCGAGAGAATGGAGCTGCACGGCGTCGGCTAGGACTCGGATGGCTCAGTCACGACTTCTCTCAAGTGCTCCCCAAGCAGAGACCCCCTACCTGTCGCTAGATACATAAGCAACTACTGTATAGATCCCTAATGTGCCTACCCTAGTCTCGCATGGCGTCTGTTACTGCACGGGGAGTATACCATTTGCCAAAGCCCTGAGCCCCGAAATGCTGAACTTCAAATCTACAAGGGGATTTGTCAAAGCCTTACTTGAGCCAAGCCTAAACCCTAAACCTGCAACGAGGATTTATCCACTTCAATCTTGAGCACGCAATTGTGACCTTTACCCTAAGACTCGATGTGCCCATATAGTAGGTACTTAGGCCTTAAAGGGGTCCCTATATGGGTACTTTAAGGCCTAAGTACTTACTATATGGGAACATGGAGCCTTTGGGTTACCGATTGTAGGGGACGTAATGATGAGAGATTATGCGCTTTGATGGTTCCCATTCACCAATAGGAAAATGCACCCCCGAACCCTATTCTAAATATGAAGGGCCGTGAAATTCACCCTTGCAGAGTAACCTTTCGTAGAAAACCGTTGATTTTAATTGAAAACTCTCATTATGTTGTCTACTACCAGGACCCTCCTTGCACCCCCAAATAGGGGTGTATGGTGCCAAACAAGGGGCATTTAGGGTCTAATAGAGTGTAGACGGAGGGTCTAGGTAAACGCCCCTGCCCTGAGCAGATTCTCTTCTTGGCTCTGTGGGCTCATGGGAGCCGGACAGGGGTGCAACGCCCGGGAGCCTGGTTAAGTTGGGGTTTAGGGTTTAGGGTTTAGTCTGCAGGGGCTCATTTTCGCAAGCCTTCAGGCAAAAGTTTAACAACACCCCGATAAAAGCCTTGTGCATCCATACAGCGCTGGAGCCAGGGCGCCGAAAGAGTTCTCCCTGAACCTTATTAAACCCTCAACCCCTGTGGAACACCCTAAACCTTAAACCGTAAGACCATAAACCCTACAACCCTAAACCCTACGTTATGAAACCCTAAAGCCCCAAAACCCTAAAAGCCTAAACCCTTAACTCAAAAACCCTAAACCCTAAAACCCTAAAGCCCTAACCCCTAAAACCCTAAAGCCCTAAACGCTTTCAGAAGGGTATTGGCACACTTCTCTGAGGCCCATGAGGCACCTCCCCCGCTCCCAAAGAGCTGTCGCACGGGCTCTTCATTAGGGACCCCACAAGGACATAAGCATAAGCGCTTCATAGGGATATCCGTACCTGTAGGGCTTCATTATTGCTCATGTGCTTTTTGTCGGGGCCCTATTTCACGCGTATGTGACCGGTTTTTAAACCCTAAACCTGATAAATCCTAAACCCTCTAAACCCTAAGCGCCATAAGTCCTAAACTCTAAGCCCTCTAAATCCAAAACCCTGAATCTTCTGAGCCCTAAACCCTTTGGAGGGGCACGGTGGATACGGTCGTTGTGGGGGCTCGTGGAAGCGTCTCGAAGGCTGTGATTATGTGAGACTGCCATCCGACCGGCTTCATGTACCTGTTTCGTATGTACTGTTGGTTTTAGGGTTTACAGGTCTGCCCATCTTTAAAATTAAATATGTATAGTATCCTGTTTGAGAGCTGGGGTCCAGGATTTGCCGCAATTTGCCAACGCCTACTTCTTGCATGGCCCCTGTGTTTGTTCTTCCTGTTTGCGGGCTTAGATTCACACAGAGGAACATCGCCAGAGCCTGCACATGGTCTGCAAGAAGCTGAAGCGCAGAGTTCCGAAGAAGAGCCCCCAGCACCACGAGTTGTACGAATTCTTGGGGGCGAAAGGCTTCAAAGCAAGCCTGGACCCGGTTGAGGAGTGCGACATCGTGCAGGTTGCGGTGCTCACGGAC